CTCTTGGGCTACTCTTTTACCAAAGAATAGTGGGATTGACCTCACATTATAACGCCCCTACGGCTAAAAGGGCGAGTATGTTTGGTGGGACGGGAATTCGAACCCGCGACCCTCAGATTGCGAGTCGAGCGCCCTAACCACCTGGCCATGCCGGGCCCTAAGAGTGAGAGGGGACCGCTTTTAGTTTTTTGCAAAACTATAAGGTGAAAGGACGTTCAGATACGCAAGTATTGGTTAGGCCAAGCAAACTACATTAGCAGTTTCCAGTTAAAGTTTTCAAAAGAAATATACAAGTGGACGGTTATCATTCATTATTCATTGCCAACTTTTAAGCATAAATTTGCTAAATTTTATGAAATTCTCTTAATTAAAGAGCGTTTTGCGTCGCGTGATATTTGCTTTGGCAATTAGCGTAAATAATGATGCTTGATGCGGTACAGTGGTCGTACAGAGTGCATGCGGTTGATGACAAGAATCTGTTAATCTAGATTCTATGACGTTACTATAAAATAAGTTATTAACACTGTTTTAGAAAGGAAAAGCTACCACCATATATTTTCAAGAATCTGATTGGTTCTGTAAAGTATAGGTGTATTCCGAATAATAGGGTTGCGATCCTAAACCTAATGTTAGTTACTATCGAGTGTCACTTTCTTACTTGCTTGTTTGTTTGTTTGTTTTTAATTATGCACAAAGCTACATAAGGGCTATCTGTGCTCTGCCCACCACGGGTATCGAAACCCGGTTTTTAGCGTTGTAAGTCCGCAGACATACCGCTGTGCCACTGGGGGGGCTTCTTACTTGCTGTGATTTGTTGGTGCTATTGACAAAAAAGGTAAAGCCAAAAAAGGATTGAGCGTGCAACTTAAAGAAATGAAATTAAAATTGGCGGACAAACTGGTAGCTACACTTATAGCATTTATAATAATTTTACAGCAAATATTCATTCATTAGTTAGCTAGGCCGCGTATTTTGTTTCACCAACCATCATGCTTCAAATTGAACAAAAAACGCGGTCTGGCTAACTAATGAATGAATATTTGCTGTAAAATTCTTATCAATGCTATAAGTGTAGCTACCAATTTGGCTGACAATTTTGATTTCATTCCTTTAAGTCGCACAATCAATCCTTTTTTGGCCGCACCTTTTTTTTTTCAGATATAAGGTGTTTTTAATTAGACAAGCTGTGTCTATAATACTTAGTAATATTAGAGAGAGAAAAACAAGAGGAAATCCTCAATAACTAACCGCGCAATTTTAAATTATTTTACGCAGGATTAGAGTAAATTAATCTATGAGACCTTTTTTTTTCCTATTTATTAGCTATATTTTGTGCGCCAGCAATACCAAGCGTGGGGCGCGCGTATAACCCGATTCGATTTTATTACTCATCAGGATCTCTACCAGCCTACAGTCAAATTGATATTCCTTTGGGTAGGATTAGAGTAAATTAAACTATGAGGCCTTGGGCGTGGTTAAATACATCAATCGAAAGGGTTTGACCTCCTGAGTCGAAAACTGTAATTAGATCTCAAATCGGTCAATAGATGACGGAGCTATGAGCCTAAACTTTGTACTTGAAAGAAAAAAAAACTCAGATCCATTCAATGAGCCGTTATGCTGCGGCTAATAAAGCTTTGCTAGTCGTAAGATCTACAAATTAAATGCATAACAGTTCTGCATCACACAAAGTATTTCAGAGTTCTTATTCAAACACTCTTCATTCTTTCTCCATGAATTAAATACATTTTTAGTTTAAGAGTATTTTTAAAGCAAGTGGGAATACTTATGCATATATATATATATATTGTTAAAAAAAGATACTTTTTTAAGATTTGATATTCCATAGTTTGTTTTTGAGAACAGAACCAAATCCTTCCAAGACGTCCCTCAGTGTGACAGTGGTAAGTTTACAGATTTACAACACTAAAATCCGTGGTTCGATTCCCCGCGGTGAACACAGAAGATAGCTAACTGTGGCTTTCCTATACAAATTTGCTTGTTTTAGGGGTTATCTACTATGTCCGCCGTCGAACATCGGATTTTAGCGGTGTAAGTTCGTAAACTTACTGCTGTCCAACCGGAGAACCTATAAAAACAACCGAGCCTTCTAAGACAAGTAATTACTAGTAAATTTAAATAAAAGAGACTAATAAATTTTGGTTGTTTATTAATTGCTTGATCCGACTGATTATAGATAATAATGTGTGATGTTGAAAATAAAACATTTCTTTGAACAATTATGCTGTGGTAGCAGATTTCTACTTTCTTGATTCTTTCAACTTTTTTTTTACGTTTCGAGAAAAATAAAAGAAAATGTATCTAACCATACTGTACGAGATTTACACAAGGAAGTCAGAAATCAGACACCAGTTTCTTGTTGTTATTTCTATTTTATTTCTTTTATTCTTTTCAGAATACAGTGCTTTCGTGTAAGTCCACTGATTCTAAAAGAAATACATTATTTGTTTTGAATTTTATCACTAAGTCTTCAATTACAAATTATCAAGATCGCGTTCAATATTTCTAGTCTCACTTTTTTTCTCCGAATCCCCGCTTTTTGGGATTTTCACCGCCTATGTAATCCTCATCAAAGTTAGTCAGAAAATGTGGTAACAAATATCTGACAAGGAAATGACGTTGTTTGGCCCCATCCAGCGTTTGGATCTTTTCTAGGTGAGGGTTATTTACACCTCCTAAGGCAAGAGCCTTTATGATTGACTCTGGAAATAAAGAATGGTTGTCACGTTTTTCCCAAAAGCCTCGTTTGTCACCAAATCCTCGTTTTTCTCCAAATCCCCTTTTCTCGCCAAAACCACGTTTCTCTACAAGTCCTTCTTTGGCTTGTTCCTGCATCTCGACACTTCTGTAATGTAAGGGAGTAGGATAAATGCTCTGGACTGTTCCCACGATGTCTTGGTAAGCTGTGTTGTCATATGTATCTTGATCATATCCTCTGTTTCCACCAGTGTTGGTAAGAAAATCATCACTGAACGTGTCACACGACATGAATTCAGTGGTTGCCAGAAGTAAAAGGAATGGAGTCAACATCTTTGCACACTGTAGAATAATGTCAAAATACGATTTTTAAAAAATGTTCTAGCATTTTTATTTTCTGGTTAAAGCTATATTTATAATTTTTATTTGAAACAAAACATGTGAACTGTTCTTTATAGTTATTTAATAACTGAAGTTCTGATCGTTTTGTTATTGAATTTGAATTTCGCACTAAGCTACTCGAGGGCTATCTGCGCTAGCCGTTCCTAATTTAGCAGTGATAGACTAGAGGGAAGGCAGCTAGTCAAAACACCACCCACCGCCAACTCTTGGGCTACTCTTTTATCAACGAATAGTGAGAGTGGCCGTCACATTATAACGCCCCCACGCCTGAAAGACGATGTGACGGAGATTCGAACCTGCAATCCACAAATTGCTAGTCTAGCGCCCTATCCACCAAACCATGCCAGGCTGGAACTAATCGTAACTGAAATAAAAAAAATTCTTCAAGTTACTCTCATTAATTCAATGGCCGCCTGATGCTCAAGTATTTTCAAAACGATAAAGCAGTGGAATATACAGAGATTAAACTTATTTATTGCGAGTAAGAAAGTCTCATCTTGAAATTGATTATACCTTAAAAACTAATTTTTCTAGAGGGAATAAAATTTCAACAAAGGCACGCTGAGAACTGTAAGTTTTATCCAGGAAAGCCTGGACGTTACGTTTCACAACCACATACTGTAAGTTTTATCCAGGAAAGTCTGGACATTACGTTTCACAACCATACACCTGAATCGATTTTCTCTGAAACTAGAATTGCTTTTATTTCTCTTCTTTATCTCTCTTTCAACAGTGCGAGCTCCATATGCTAATTGAGAATAACACCAAAAGGATATTGAATATATTTGAAGTATCCTATATCATGTCATGTCCAAAGTTTCCTGAGTAAAACTTATTAATTTTCAATGTGCCTCCGGTGAAAGATGGTTCTCCATAGAGCAAATCATTATTTAAGATGTAATCATTTTCAATATGGTGATTTATTCGTAATTACCTTGTATATCAGTATGTATATTCTAAAACGGGTCTTTTTTCTTCCATTGTGATTTTCTTCATCTCCAATGCACACATATACATACTTCTAAACAAGATACTGTATTACAAATGTAATATGATACACGAGAAGTGAAAAAGTGGATCGACAAAGAACCTTCAAGTTTTACACTTGGTAAAAACTGACTTTAACACATGTCAAATGAATCATAGAAATATAATTTCTCTACACCGGCGACTAAATTCCTAATCTTTTCCGAGCTACAGTGTATAATAGCTGTTACATTTTTGGATATTCAGTACGAGGATATATCAAATTTTTTGCGTATCTCCAATAGTTCAAAGCTTTGTATAAATGATTTTATGCCTGCTAAAATTAAAGATTCCCAAATTGTCCATTATATGTTTTAAGATACATACATAACCCCAGAACAGTAGGTTCTGTATTTAAAGTTTATAATAATTTCGCTTAATTCATCCCATAATATTTCCTAAATAATGCTACATATGCAAACATAAACACAATAAGAAGATATTTATAAATAAAATAATAATGAGTCATACCTTGTTGACTTACGTTTGATATACGACCGCAAGTACTTCTGTCGTCCTTTTTCTATAACCGTGTTTCAGGCCTCTACACTGACCATCTGACTGAACACCACTACTTATATAGTTTAAAACGCTGTCGATTTCCACAAATGGTTGAAGACGGAAAATATCTCATTACGTACTTGGTTTTCATTGGTTCTCAACATTTCATGTTGTAAATAATCCCTTATGTAAAGTTAGGGTCTTATATACAATCTCAAAGTAAATCCCTTTTGATTAAGCTGGATTTTTTATCATTCTACAGCAAGTTTTGTTCACAAATTTTGCATGATGTATATTACGTATATATGTGTGTGTGTGAGTGAAAGCACCTGCCTACCAAAGGAATGTGCTATCCAACTAATATCTTCAGATTGTGGAACGTACAAAAAAAAAGAATCTCTGCATGCAGATGTGTATACAAAAGATAAACCAACGCTCGTTAAATAAGCCTAGTGGGACTTCTCGTGAGTTAAAAATAACGTAAACATTTCAACCTACATGAAACTGGATATTAAGTATTCATGATTATATTTTGCCTACCTGCGTGAATCTGAATATATTTTGTCTGCTTTTGAAGCAGTATTAGGAAACTTGCATATGAATTTAATTTAATAACAAACGAATTCCGTAAAGAAATAAGAAAAATATTTTGGTTTCAACATCATACCCGCAAAACAAGATTACTTTTAACGAATTTAGAATTTTCAAGAATCTGGTGCTCCACTTCATCAGAAAAGTTTCGCGTGGTATGATTTGAGTGCAAAAAATGTGTTACACATGTTACAATTTATACATACTTAATACATATTTATACATATACATTACACTACAATACATATTTTAAATTTTAAAGTTGTTTGTTGTTTTTTTAGCACAAAGCTACACAATTCGCTATATGCGCTCTTTTCCACTGTGGGGAATCGAACTCCGGATTTTAACATTGTAAGTCTGCAAACTTATTGTTGAACCTCCGAGGAACAAATTCTAAAGCATCAAAGATCATATAAGTTCTCGGAACTTTTAAGAATTAGACCTGTTTCTGCAATGGTTAATTTGTCATTTAAATTAATTACAAAAAACTGTGGCTGAAGGAATGTGGAATTGGTTTTAAAATACTTTACTGTGGACGTTACTTTGAAAATTTATTTTTTTATTTTTTTTTACATTACTTGGAGAGTAATTATCAGGATGTCAAGTTTACAGAAGAATATCAATACGTTTTATTATAACACAGACCTGCGATGGTTTTATTTTCTTGAAGTTTTTACATGTTCTGCAGTAATTCCTGGACGCTGAATCCGAAAACGATATCCATTTTTTTCCATCACGGACAGATTTTTCACAGAACAGCATAATGCAATACATAAAAGAAAGACTACAACACGTAGTTTTGAGACTAAAAGACTTAGAGTTCACAAACAAAAT